GCTGCTGAATAAAAACATGCTAAAAGCTGTTCCCCTGTAAAGTGAGAACTATGAGCTCAGGGAAGAACATGACCCACTCCACACGATAAGGGGTTATGGGTAGACACATTCCTTGGTCGGAAAAGATACATTGCTTAATGTATACAATTCAATTCAATGTTTATTTATTTTACATTTCCCAAAAGCACAGCAGCCGTTGTCACAGAAATGGTCAATTCACAATCAACAGAATAGAGAATTGAATAATTAGAACACAAGGAAACACAATAATAAAACACATATTGGTTCATAGGGTATCATTTCAATCAATGTCCATAAATGTCCTGGATCAAACTGACCCAAGACTCTCCTGCATCGGCAAGGAACACACTAAAACCCATTGGCAAAACGCACTTTCTTTCTGTATATTCCTCTGCGTTGGATAAAATATTGAATCAATAAAATCAGTTCCTAACATAAAATCAATTCTTAGATGGGAAAAACACAAATCAATTCTAGTGGAAAGCTCGGGTGCTGCGTACGTGACACCAAACCTTGTGTTTCTGTCAAGCCCGTAACAGCAAAAGAGGTATTAAAAAAACATAAACAAACACGTGGAGGCATCTTGCTTTCTAACGCTCGCTCATCCTTTTAATCGGTGTGGAATCCAACAAAGTGGGTCAAACTCCCCATCTGCCCCGTCCGTTTTTAAATGCACGCGGGCTGATTAAAAGGGAAAAAATAGGGCAAGCTCGGCCAATGAGCGCGTCCACAGTCATCTCAGAGGAGCCTGGTCAATAAGCAGCCGGAGAGATAGCACCAGTGGACATGTCCGCGGTATTTGTTAGCAATTAATGGCCGCCAGTGTAACAAATAAAGGTCACGCGTGTCACTTCAATCTGCTGTGTCGCGGTCTACGGTGCGTGGCTGTGTTATTTGCATACAATCACCTTCGTTCAGCCGCTGCCTGAACATATAACACAAAGAGGCGGAGTCAAAGGCACGGTCGTGTGGCAGCTGGGTGGATAAGCCGCACACATCTGGATCCATTACTGTATGCAGAGATGTGAGAGGCGGCCTGCAGCCTTCTCTGCTGGGATCCCATTATGTATTTTATGAAGCATATGAGTATGTGTGTGCAAAAGTTTTGGAAACGTTACCTACTAATCATAACTAGTTGCTTTTGTAATTTCATGACACTTACACTTTTCTGGGAGGATATAGTTCTGAACAGCAAAAAGAAGAGCATTGGTGTAAATCTCGGAGGTGACAAATATACAGTAGTTGTAATTGACCAAAAAAGGTATAGATATCAAATCAATTGTTTTTGTATCACCCAAAGTCATAGTGTTTGGTTGGATGTTACGGAAATATAAAAAAAATAGAACACAGGAGTGAGGTTTACGAGACCCCTGCAAAGAAACTCTTGAGAAGCAAGCAATAAGCAAGCACAAACATTTCTGCCATGCAATCACAAAATCTCAATTTATCTTGTGAATTTTGTTCAAGCTATTACTAAAATCTTCTGAGTGAAAAGATTCTGGACGAGCTCAGAGGAAGGTGGTGCGTTGTGGTCATGTCATTACTGATGTGGAAAACATTACACCAAGGCTCTTGCCCGAAAGCAGTAGTTTATATATGAATAGTATATATGTGAGTAGAATAAGTGTGAGTAGTAAGTAAGTAATGTTTATTTATATAGCGCATTTTACAGACCAAGGTCACCCAAAGTGCTTTACAATGTTCAGAGTTCAGATATTGTTCCAATCATTCCACACACGGTGATGACGGAAGCGAGTCGCCGAACACACTGGACCATCAGCCCCCAACCAACACCATCCATTCACTCTCTCATTTACATTCATACCTATTGTGCACGTTTTTAGTGGTAGGGGAAACCGGAGCACCCGGAGGAAACCTATGCAGTAGTATATAAGTGAGTAGTATATGCAGTCATTTCTCTGACATCAAAATCAAACCTCATATTGTAATACAGTATATTTGTAACTTCTAGCCTCAGTACCAGTGTGCCCCATATACACAACTGTCTTACTGACGTCGTCACAAACATCCCTCGCATTATAATTTAGTCAGTTAGTCATTTGGAAAACTTATATTCTTATTGGGAGCTGTTTGGGAGGATTCATTATAATCCACAGGAGGAATGAATTTTTTTGCTTCTTTTTAATGCCAATAAAGCCTTCAGCATTTCACTCAAGACCAGAGCAGAGAAAAGGGTCTGAACTAAGTGACTACATCACCTCTGCGGCTGTGACCAAAAGTGCTGTTGCATTTTAGTGCTATTGTTAGCTACTTTTAGAATTTTGTATTGATTTGTTTTGTTTGTATGGATGGATGGATTTCTGCTGCTAATGGACACCTGAATTTCTCCTACGGGGGATCAATAAATTATCTATCTATCTGTCTATATGAATCTTTTGTCGCTATTGGACTGCTGAACTCTGTAGCTTGGTGGTGATGTGGACTTTGATGTTTAAGCCTTATTGTTGTGTTATGTTCATATGTTTGTATGGGGCTCCACTTTTTTTATGTTGTTTATTTATTTGATTTAATGTGGTTTATTTTTTGTTTTATTATTTTTTTTATGTGCTGCTCAAACAAAATGCCCCTGGTGGGATAAATACAATAGTCTGAATCTGACAATCTCGCAATCAATCTATCTATTACAATCAAAAGTCATGATAATTTACCCTGTTATTCCCACACTGGCCTTTGCTTACAGAAACTTGCCTGTACGCAGCTCCGTGGGGTTGTCTTCTATCAGCAGGGTGTCTCCACAGGCCTGATCAGGCTTGTGAGACTGCAGCTGTGAATCGGTGCTATATTAGGCTACCGCTAAATAAGACCAAACTGGCCTTAGACCTTCATTTATTATGTGTTTTACTCATGAACAAGATCCTGTTTCAAGCTGCAGCTGCATTATTGGTGTGATGTTAAGGATAGATTATTTTTTTTTGACCAGTGTGTTAGTGTGTCTTGAGATGTTGGAGAAGGCTGTCCTAAATGGCTAAATGAATTTTCTGTATATATACTGGACAACCTGAATTTCTCCGACAGGGATCAATAAAGTATCTATCTATCTATCTATGTATAAAACAGGGACGATGGGAAACTCGGCTCCTGACACCTGACAGAAAAAATGGCTTCTGGAAACGCGAATAATGAACACTACAGTATGTAGTATCTGCCTGAGAGGATTATCTGTGGGAAATGGAAAGTAAAAAAAAATATACGGCTGCAAGATTAATCGCAATCACATTGAACACTCAATTTGAATAGACACACATATTTAAGTCCTTTGCAAAAACAAAAACAAAAGTATTAAAAAGGTGTTCCATATGTAATGTATTTGTATTATACATTATTATTCTGTTTTGAACATGAAATGAATCAGCCTGGCCTTAGCCATCCGTACCACTCAGGTCAATTATACATGTACGGAATGAAATGAGTACAGTGGCATGGTGAGACCAGGCTAGTAATATTGGGCAAAACAAATCTGTATTGTTTTGTCAAAGTCGTGCTGCCCTGATGTGAGGGATGATACCGATACATAAATCTGTATTCAGCCGACGACATGTTTGTCATTTAACACATGCTTTTGTCGTCAAATATTTTATACATTTTTATAAAACTTACCTTACACAACAAACAACTGAGAGATTTTCCTACAGAAACTCATTAATAAAGTTTTCGTTATTTCAGCTATGTTCAAAAACAGAGCAAAGGAGAAGAGGATGTTGAGATAAAAAGTCACGAAGATGAAATATGTTATGTATTATTCTCGGGGAATTCCTGGGAGTGTGTGGTGCAAGTAGACGACTTTGATTTGAATGAAATCAGAGGAGCTGCTTTCAACAGGTCTGGGCCCTCGGGGACCTGATCTCCTCTAATGATATTACATAAAAGGCAGCTGAGGTTTACGACACCCCAGCAAATAGCAAGAAAGGGCAAAGTCTTCAGAAGAGTCAAGTAGCAAGCATATGGTTAGAGGGCAGAAAAACACTGCACTGGATCGGAAATGATTTAAGAGGAAGTTGTAATGGACTGTGTGTCATTATGGCTCTGAGAACACCTGGTCTTTGCTGTGCCTACACTCTCAAAACACATTGTTTACATTTTACCCGTTTTTTGGTTATTAAAGTTGATAGTCACTGATGTGTCAAACCAATATTTTTGTTAAAACCATGCAGCAATCCATAACTGGTTGTGTTTTCAACAAATCGATCTTGGTTATAGTCCAAAAAATTGCTGTCAATGACACACATACTGGTTAATTCAACCAATATCAGTGGAAACAAACTATTTGGTACATTTCTGACCAATACATTGGTGAATGTAACCATTAACCGCTCAACCAGATTGGTCAATTATCAAATCAATGTGTTTTTAGAATGTACAAGCTTATGTGCAGCAAATTGCAAAATTGTAAATGAAAGTCAAAAATCATAACAGGGAAGTTGGAAAATCAGCAGTCCAACAGCCAATCTAAATATACACATTAGTACACGTTGGTGCCTGCTCACTACAGTAACAAAGGAAGCTGGCCTGGTTACACGACTCATAGAGAAGACAGAACTGGATCAATAGCCTCCACACAGCTTCATTGCAATGTATTGGCTCAGCACATGAAATGCAATATGAGCAGATTAAGTCATTTGTGCAAAGGGCTGTGTTTCAAGAGAAAACACTCAAATACAGCATGCAGAGGAGATAGGTGAGAGAAGTCTCATTATGAAAAATGCAAAAGTATGGATAATATAGGGCCAGCATAATCTTTCACTGCACGACTTTGATGATTTATAAATGAGACTGTGGCACTCGAGCATGTGTTCTGTGGTTTCTCATGTGAAATCATTTTACAACATGCTATTTGAAGTATGATAAGTGATAAACTATGCAGAGATAAAAGCCCTTAGATACTATACAGAAGCATCCTAAGAGGTGACAGGCGGTGTCACGGGCCAGTATGGAGCACAGACGCCCCACAGCAGAGCGTGATGCACAGGGACAGAAGCAGAGGAACAGAAGCACAGGGACAGAAGCAGAGGAACAGAAGCACAGGGACAGAAGAAGAGGGACAGAGGCAGAGGGACACTTGCCTGGAAGGTGTAGAACCTCGTCCCGTTTGGAGGGTGCACCTTTGGGGAGCTGCTCCCCGTACTCATGTCGGAAAAAATCATAATCCACACGGAAACAAAATAATCCACACACGAGCTTTCCGATCTATATGGACTCTACAACTCCGAATCGAGACGACAGTGGTCCTGGTGCAGCCCCGGAGCCGACGCTGTGCTTCCAGCGTCGGACACCGGACTGACCACCGTTAGATAAATGCACTGAGTCAAGCGCAGAGAGGGCAATACGCTCTTATCCTCTTGCACCTCTGTCTCCTCGGCTCTTGCTTCAGTCTCCCTGGTTATGAAAGCAGAAATGCCGTGGCTCCATGTTCCTGCAGGACACGGTCTGAAGTGCAGCGCAGAGGGAGCCGTCTGTGCGCGGATTACCCCTCCACATGCGCGCAGCAGACGCACAGAAATCACCAACTCTCGCCCTGAGCATCAGCGCCGTGAGAAGACTGCCTCTGTTGGCGACGTGCGCCTCAACGTGCATTTGACAGACTTTCCTTCGGAATCCCTCAAAACAACAGGCCACCTATGACACGTTACACACGATAAGAACAATGCGCTCACAGAGAAAAGAAGAGTTCACGAGCCGAGGACTGGGAGGTGTGAAGCTATTGAACAATGTAAAGGCTATTGTCCTCCACAACACTGCATTTTCTGTTGGAATCTGATTGTGTTCGCCTATAGATCATACCGACTATTTAGTGATAAAAACAACACTATATCTCTGTCTAAAGTTTTTTTGAAGTGAAAAAAGTAATGACAATATCTAAGTGCTTGTACACAGCGATGCAGTCTATCCTTTAACAGCAATAGCCCAGAAGAACATATATGAACATATTTCTAAGATGTATCTAATATACAAAGTTGATCAAATATAGACACACTATCTGTAAACTGAAACATTTTGAATTTCAAAAACTCATTATAAAGTTATACTGTTATTTTCCATTGACACTTTGTAACGGGACAATTCGTTTTGTATTTTGATTGATTATGGCAATACTATACACAAATATTTTATGTAGAACAAATCTATTATTACATAATTAATATTAACATTATATGTTTGTATTATTGATGTGTGATATTCAATTTATTTTCGGTCAAGTTTAAGTGTGCCTCTGTGTTCTGTCTAATGGTCTGGAATTACTGGATTGTTGAAGCCCTCAGAGCTCACATAAGGACTGGTCTGTATAATATGGTTGATCCTGACGTCCCAGGACCATGTGCAAGATGTGCAGTGGGCGGGGCCTGAGCTGATTGGTTGGAAGCTCTGAATCCTCTCTGAGCAATGCCCCAGCTGCCGGATGAAACATTCAAGTAAATAAAAGGTACAGAGCTGATGAAAGATCTTTTGTTCACATGCAACAAGTGTGAGGATTTCAACAACAACATTATGGCAACGATCTGGGGGATTTACAGATTCTAATCAGATGGGATTTGGCCAAATACATGTGCATTATGCATGCAATTTATCCCACAATGCACCTGAAAGAATGATTATAACAATAAAAAAAGCCAAAAATAAGGCAGCTCCACCTGCACAAACTGCTCAGGTGCACAATGATAAATCACAGTGGGAAAGGCATGTTCACATTAGCATATAGTCAGTACATGGCTGGCATCTGTGGCAAACACAGGCTCCTAACAAGCTGACTAGAGATAGTAAAGAGACACATTGTCAAAGTGTTATTATACTCCCCACAGAGATTCCTTCCAGTGCAGGACTGACATCTGCTCCCTCTCTGGCTTCTGAAGAACAACATGAAGCAGGGTTTTCATTCACACAAATTATTATATCCTGATATCACTGTAGGAAAATCCAAAATAAATGGTATAGTATAAACTTTGATACACCTTGCAGTTTAATAAGCATGCCTCTGACCCAGGGGCTGGCCCTGGGCTCCTCTGCAGTGTCCCGCTCCATTAGCAGAGCTGCTTCTGCCTAATTGGCTCTGCTCTGCTTCCCATTCCTATAGAGACTGCTTTTGTCATGGAGCTGTTTCAGTGGCATTTGTTTTTCTTTAGCTTTTGCTTCCATTAAGTAAGTAAACTAATTATAACACAGCTGCAAAGATTGTGTTTGATCTACTCAATATGAATAATACTTGCAGTTCACCAATCATACGTGTAAGTTAATATACCACATTGTAAAGTTAACAATTATTGTCCAATCAAAACCCTGGACTGTGTCATTATTTAATTTCACATACATTGATAACAAACCTTAGGGTGTCTAAATATGTTGAGCACAGGGATTATTTTCAGTCCTGGGAAGCACAACCATTTAAATTTCCCACAAAATCAACGGAAAGAGTTTTCAATCATGTCTAAACCTTTGAAACAAGGTCTGATCACAAAGGCAGCAGTACGCAGCAGCACTACTGCCAATACATGCTGACTCAAGTACAATCACTTTCACTCATTTTATTCGTTGTTAAAAACAATAGCAGCCTATAAGTTCAGAACCATTGTCTTTGTCAGCTTCTGTAACGGCAACAATGCATGATTAGAATGTGTGCGGAGACAGCATTTACTCCACAACATCACATTCATCTCAAATGTCATTGGGGTCTTCTACCACATTCATCTACACAACACAATTCAACTTAACAGACTGACACAGACACACACACACAAACACACAGCCGCACACACAGACACAGGCAATTACAATACCCTTGTGTTGATGGGCTACATTAAGAAGAGTCCAAATGTGTTTAATCTGTGTTCATACTTTTTCAAGAGCAGGAGATGTTTTTTGGTGTACACGTTCTTGTAAAATACATACATGATTGAATCTATGTAAAACTTCCCGCCTCTAAACAAATGTCTGCAGAATGAGGCCACGTGTCTGTTTGTGAAGCTCTTGATGTTACTATTAGTGTGTCAAAATCTGATTATTTAAGTCGTTCAGTGAGTGATGAATCACACATCTGCCTACATGTTATTGTTGCCATTGGCACCACAGTCATTAGTGTGCCATAAAAAGATGCTTTTGGCAGCAGGAATTGCCTAGCAACACAGAGATAACACAATAAAATACAGTACAAAAATAAAATACTGTCCAGTGTCACAGTACTGTTTTCTATTGGACACAGCAGAACACAAAACACCACACACATGAACGTGGACACTATCAATCACCATGAAGCACCAGTGATTTCATTGTGCATGTGCAGCTTCTCCTCCAGTGATATTTACTTTATTTGCAGGTTCAGCCTCATCAGTTTTCTCCACTGAACCAAGAGCAGCAACAATCTCATAACTTTCTCATTATGTTTCCAAATGGTTTAACTCTAAGATAACAACCATCTTTTGTGGACTAAAACCTCTTTCTCAGAGCACCCCAAGCTCCACTACAAAACTCATTAATCCCCAGAACAATTGATCATGTCCTGAGCTTCAAGTTCAATAAGAACAAATACGTTTAAGAATGAACAGCAACTGACTCATTCATTTATATATCCAGCAAAGTAAATATATGGAAGGAGTGACATACAATATCTCAAAGATGATCCGATTATAACAGAGGAGATGGACGAATGGTGATGAGGATGAGGCAGGAGCTCCAGACAAGAAGAAAGCTGTAGGACAGCTCCATCTGCTGGTCAGTAAGAGTGGTGACATCTATAATGACTGAATGAATGAATGTGAATTCTTATCCCGTGCTTGTCAGTGCTTTGTCAAAAAGGACACAGATGTGGCAAACCTCTAGCCTTCCAGAATTTCCTGACTGTAGATATGACAATTACTTTGGCATATAATTTTATTTTATATGGTTAGTGCTTGAAAAATCCACCCTGAATTTGAGCCGACTTTATTCGTCCACAAGATGGCAGGATTTTATAAAAAACTGAATGGATATTTACTCATGTTATGAAACCATCTATTTCTCATACAAATCTCTGTATTATAGTTACTTGGCACATACAATAACAACCATGGCCAGTTCAGTCACAACACAACCTTGTTTTGCCCTCCGGACACTCTCACAAGAGGAAATGACCTTTAGCCGTGTGACATTTCACAGCTCCTGCTCTGTATAGCATTCAACTATTTGCTGCAGTCTGTTGTAGATCCAGGGGGCTATTTTGTTATGAGATTGCAATGCAAGTTACACAAATGTTACAATTTTTGCAAAATCAGCAACACTTCAGTAATTCACGGCTCAGCTTTAATTGCTGTACTTATTTATTTATTTACTGCACTTGGATAATGGCATCTGATTTTCCTTAAAAGTATCAGAAGAAATAGCCATGACAGATTATATCAGTGTTTAAAGCTCATGCAATTTATCTCATTTATTGTTGTAGGGAAAAAAAAAGCTAATTATTCAAAGTGAAAGACTCCTTTCACAGACAGTCACAAAGCGTTTTACAATTGTTGAGGGCCTTTTTTCACACAGTGATGGGAGCAAGGTCCCCATACAGAAGGTGCACACCAGACCTGCAGGTTTTTAGTGGTAGAGGGAAATGGAGCACCTGGACGAAACATGCATAGGGAGAACATGCAAACTCAAGACAAGGCCCCATTTGGTGGTGGAATCGAACCCAGGGCCTTGTTCATAACCATTTAATTGGCTCATCACTAAAACTTTGACCAATAAAGGGGACCTTGATTCTGTGCAGCACCATCAAAGTGCCAAAATCATCAGGCTATGTATCAATACACACAAAAGCCAATCATCAGTCAATAAACATCATTCTCATTCAGACATTGTCTTTCAAGATTGAAGTATCTCTCACTGATATAGTGGTCTGCTTTAAGTGCTGATGGTGGTTGGAAGAGCCGCCTGCTGTCCACAGGGACGAGTAAGAGGTCAGTGGGGACAAACCTTCACTTCTCTGAATCCACGCAGTGACAACTCCCCTTTCAAAGCAAGAAATGTGTTGTTGACCTAACAGTATTTCATTGCAGGTTATATTTGTAAGGAAGTACAGATATTGTTTCTCAACACAAAAGCAGAATATCTAATGCTTTGCCTGGTTGGCCCCAAAGCAAATAGGTTCAAGGTCTGAGCAAAAATAAAATATTCTCACACAAGACTATAGGTCAATAGACAAAAACAAGTATTGCAGTTTATTAATGTTCTCTTTCTGAAATACAAGCCACCTAAAGTCACACTAAAATATGTAAGACTACATTTTGTGCACACAACATACATAACTACTGTATGCATAAACTGAGACAGTAAGTTCCAACAGCTAAGATGTAGTGAAAGACTGCAGATGTATTTGTAAAGACTGAGTGTAGTTAGACACATGTAGAGGATGTAGCTGCAGCAGTGAGTGACAAAGACGTCCCAGTGCCCTGAGCTGTGGCCTGTTTGAGCTGTGTTCAAACAGGGAGGCTGACATCACCACTGGGCAAGACGCTCCAGGGAAGAACGTGTGAGCTCATCCAGTCACAACCAGGGTTTGAAGAGTGTGCACGTGTGTGTGTGCGCGTGCACATGTGTGTTTGAAAGGTGGCCTGCTGCTATGCCCAGGTCAGGCAGCAGGGACGCCCACAGAGAGCTTAATCACTCAC